GTCAACCCTAACACGGTCATTAAAAGTTTTTTTCCTAATATTTGTATTACGTCGCTAATGTTAAGTTTAATCGATATTTTTTTATTTATCAATCCTTTAAGCAATAGGAATGACATATATTTATATTTGTATATTTATATAGTTACAACAAATTTTGGTGTGTTATGCTGAGCTTTAGCATTATAAGATTTGACAAAATTTCCTGTTCGTTAACAGTTTTCAGGTTCAAAAACAACTAAGGCCGGCGCAAAGAGTACCTGTGTGCAAAACATATTACTTTTTTAGGGGCAGTAACTACCATTTGGTAATTGCAACCCCCTTTCCCTCCTTCACTCTTGATATCTAAACACAACCATTATTTGATTTAAAAAATCAAATAATGGTTGTGTTTAGATATCACTTTTTGTTGTTATTGGATGGTTCATTTATTTCTAACCAACTTATTTTCAAGTTATATTTTATTGCTATCATCACAATTATGTTATTTTTACATAATGTTCAATATACTTGGGCAAATAATAATAAACCAACTTATTTTCAAGTTATATTTTATTGCGATCATCACTATTATGTTATTTTTACATAATGTTCAATATGCTTGGGCTAATAATAAAATTAGTACTAAACCCTGCTTTCAACACTTATCGAAACCTCATTAAGAGACTTTCTTAAACCTCTCTTTAACCTTTTGATACTATTTAAAATCTCTTAAAACCATTGACCGCTTTTTATCTTCTTGTTCAAGATTCATTGTTGGTATGCATTTTTTACAATTGTAAAAAGTAAACAGATTCGACTCCTCCCAGATGTGCTTTTATATTATAAATAAAAAATCGTCGGGGAAAACGAACTTTAACAGATAAAAGAAGTATTTAGGTTAAAATATTCTATTGTTATATAATATTTTAAAATATTCTATTGTTATGGATTTATTTAAAAGTAGAATAGCACTTTTTTGGGCAATTTTTTGGATTATAAAATGCATTGAGCCAGCGCCAACACGTCATTTAAAGGTCAATGAAGGTTTCCAGGTGACATAAATTTGATGATTACACATTTGTTTTAGTTATTATACTTTATTTTAATTCTTAAATTTGTTGTACAATGTGTGTATAGTTTTTTTTAATGCTGGTAGAAAGTGATCTTGTTTTTAAAAATGATTTCAGTGTGTCAGTGTTGATTTTTTCATTTATAAGACAAAACAGGTAACACTGAATCAGTGTTTAGCCTAAACACACTACCATTCATTTGGGATAAATTTTTTTTTGTTGTTGTTTATTTTTGTGTTATAATAAATATTTTTTTGAAAAACAAAATTTGAATTAGAAAACTAATTTGAGAAAAAATAAAATTAAAAAAAATTTTATTTGAAAGGTTTTCATGAAACTGATAGTTTATAAAAACAGTCAGGCAACAAAAAAAACAAAAATCCGTGGTCCACTGAATTTAGGGGCCTACTAAGCCATATGAAGGCATTTTATTATTTTTTACACTTGTAATAAAACAAAAAAACGGCTTTAACGTTCTTGTCAACCCAAGGATTTTAAACCCAACTGATTATAGTTTAGTTTTATAGTATTCCAAAGTTCTAGGTAGTAATCCAAAGTTTTTTTCAAAAAATTGGTCGCAACAAAGAACTATTATTTATCTTATTAATTATTAAAATAGAGCTAAAGATTTTTACATTTTTAATGATTTTTCAAAACATAAGTTATTTTAAGTGGTACTTTCAAATTTACATTTAAAAAAAGTTTTACTTTCAAAAGATGCGCTACCGAAACGAGTTTTAAAAAGCTCTAGTGATTTCCGTAGCAATGCATTAAAGAAAACATTACTTCAAAAAAATACTTCAGAATATCTATTATTTTTAATTAAAATTTCAAAGAAAATATTATTTTTGAAATTTTTTCTTAATCATGAACTTTTTTGTGAAAAATAAAATTTTATAAAATTTTCAAGTTAAAAAAAAATGAAAAAAATATTACACAAAAAAGTTCATTGCTGATGACATATTTTTCTAGTAATCTTTTCTATTATAAAGAGCCAGTGTGGCAACAAATTATACTTAACATACGAACATGAATCTTTTTATAAATAGTATTAAAGCTGCGTAATTTTTAATTAAACTTGGTTTTTCATTATTTTATTTAGTTGGAAAAGTCATTATAAAGTGGATCCATAGGGGGAGAGGGAGTGAAATGCCCCTCCTCCTCTCCATCTCTTAAATTTTTTGAATTTTTTTTTTTAAGTATTTATTTAACAAAGCATGTTGTTTGAAAACAGTAGTAAATTAGGAAAGATTTTTAAAGGTCATATAAAAATTTAATGAAACTGAATAGCGCGAAAAAAAATCGGACTGTTGCGATATAAATATATGACGTAATTTTATAGTTTACTTAAATTAAGACAGTAGGCTGGGTGAATAAAAATGAGCAATTGCTTTTACTCATATTTAAAAACATAAGTAAAATTGCTCAAGTTTTTATTCACGTAAGGCTGATCAATTACTCATATTTAAAAACATAAGTAAAATTGCTCAAGTTTTTATTCACGTAAGGCTGATCAATTACTGAGTAATATTATGGCCTATACCCGGCCTAGTTTAAGAATAATATTATGAAAATTTAACTTAAAAAGTTGCAAATTTATTGGTGATTTTGGTTGTATAGTACTTTAAATATAAAAGTTCTTTACAACCAAATATAAGTTGTTTTAACACTTTTTGACCATTATTTAAATTAGAAACAACACTTTCAATAACAAACTATTGAGTTTCTGAGTTTATTGCAGAAAAATTTATTGTAGAGAGTTCATAGACGGAATCTTTTAAAACAGATGTACAAATTACACCTTAATATTTCCCAGTAAGCACAAGACGCATTTTAGACACTTATAGACGTCTAAAACTAGTCTAGGTAAAGACGCACTTTTATAGACGTTTTAAAGACATCTTCTAGACGTCTTTTATAAAGGCGTTTTTAAAATGACGTTTAAAAGGCGTCTATTCAAGCGTTAAAAAAACGTCTAGAAGATATCTTTTTTTAAGACATCTTCTAGACGTCTTTAATAAATGCGATTTTAACATGACGTTTAAAATGCGTCTTTTTGAAGTTTAAAAATACGTTTAAAGGACGCGTAATAAATAGTCTGAAATACGCATTAAAAGACGTCTAGATCAAAGCTAAAAGACATCTTTTCTGAGACCTGTTTATAAATATGTCATTATGACTTCTTTTTGACGGCTTTGTCATTACGCCGTAGATGTCGTATATTCAAAGTAAAAACATAGTTTTTATTACTTTCAATAATTCGTTCAAGTTTTAAGTGTAAATTACTTTAAATTAAATTACTTTTTTACACAATTGCTAAAATTGTTGTCACAGGAATCACTAAAATAATTGCTATAATAATAATATATCTTTTTTTTATTAATAATTATTTTGCTTTTTTAATAGATAGTTGACTGATCATGATAATAAATGAAAATGGCAAGAATAATATATAAGTTAAATATCAGTACTTTTAGTTTTTATACACCCACAAGCCATATAATAAGTCAAGTATCCGGTCAAAAATTAGCTAGCAATACGTGCGGTAAATATTATAATAACTAATAGTGAGTTATAAATGTTTTAAATACTGTTTTGATATATATTTGTTATTGCTATTTATCATTTTCATCTTTGATGCATCAACCGTTGGTGGTGATTGCAGCAATATTACTTTGATTACTGGTTCCTATGCATATTTTGATTATACAAAATTATAACAAAATATGATGTTATAAATACAATGAATATATACCACATACTACGCGAAAATGTTACGTCATGTACTTAAATTTATCTTGAAAAAAACGTCTAACATACGTCTAAAACGCGTTTTTATAAAGACGTCTTCATTTAGACGTCTTTTAGCCTTATGATCTAGACGTCTACAAGTGCGCCTTTTAGACCTCCTTAAAGACATCTTTAAAACGTCTTTTAAACGTCTTTGTGCTTACTGGGTTTTTAGGATTATTTGTTTTTTCATTAAGTAAAATAATTACTTATTCAAGAGTCAATTCATTTTGGTGGAGGTGACATCTTACTAAATTCATTTTGGGGGAGGTGATATCTTACTAAATTCATTTTGGTTGAGTTGACATCTTACTGAATGAAATAATTTTTTATTTATATCTTGTTTTAGCTTAACAATTAGAATTTTTTCCGCACTATTTTGAATTGTCAGTTACAACAGTGTGACAGAATAACAACATGAGTTTTCATGCAGATAATAGCATAATTTAGCAGAAGTATTTATTTTAATAATGTCTGGGATAGGCTAGTATATTGTATATGCAATACAAACAGTGTGAGTTTTCTAATAATTGGAGAGAGGGATGAACTCCCCCAACATACAAACAAGATTTTCTTGAAGAAAGTGAAAGAATTTTCACTTTCTTTGGTTTCGGTATCAGCTTTCAAAACAAAATATAAGTATAAAATCATTTTATTAAAACAGGTTACCAAAAGCGTTCCTGATACTTTAAAATAAGTAAATCGTGTTATCATCACGGTGCTCACTTCACTTCTGATTTGACGCATAAATAAGTCTTATAATCAAAATTGCCTAAATCCAAAATAAACTCAGAATAAAATACAGAATACAGAACAGCGTAAAACAATATAGCTTGTGGCAAAAAATCTTTATGCTTTTATTACAGCTGCTTTACCATAATTTTAATAGAACTTAAGATTCTTGTATTTTTTAATATATATACTTTTTATGTGCACGAGGCCGGCACTGATACTCACTGATGGTGAGGAATATTATGTAGTAGAACCAAATCAAAAATCAAACCAAAAACTCATTTTTGACTAAATCAAGATTACGATAATTTTTTTATAGGTTGAGGATTACATTTTTTTTTTTTAGTTTTGAGATAAAGTTTATTTATTAATAACCAGTAAAAACTTTTTTGTTTAATAACTTTAGCATTACATACCTATGAAAGGTTACTTAAATTCACATGATCTGCATTTAAAATTGATACTTGATAAAAGGTTTAAAAAAATATCGCATCAATTTTTACCAATGTTTGGTTACATTCCTGAAACAGCAGTTTTAAACAAGAAAACTACTACTATAACCGAGAACGTACTTGTAGCAACGCCAGACAAAAGTAAGCTACATGATACAAGAGTAAGAAGATATACAGCTCAGGGATCAATGTGGAAGAAATCGGTAACCTGTTGTACTGTTTTAAATTTTTTAAAAGATTTTTCTTTTAACTCTAAACAATAAATTTTTTTTTTAGGATTTAACATGGAAACTATTAAATGATAACAACGACAATTTGAGTCGAAATCAAGTAGAAGACGCCTTACAGCAAGCTTTTGCAAGATGGGAAGCAGTAACAAATTTACTTTCACAAACTTGAGAAAAATAGCAATGAATATGCCGATATTGATGTATCCTTTGTATATCGTTTCCAACAGAAACAACGAGATCCCTCTCTTTTTTATGGAACTGGTGATGTTTTAGCCCATGGTTATTATCCAAACAATAACAAAGGTAACTCTAAATACCCAACTGTGGAAAATTCTTTTATACGCGCAATTTATACAATCAATGTACGGAATGTACAATCAAATGTACGGAAAAAGACGCTCAAGCTTCTTCTCGAAGAGTTGATTGAGTAGCTTCATTGGATTTCCTTGCTTGAAAATTGTTTATTAGAGAAATATATTGTAACTTGCTAAAACATAACTATAAATTTAACGATATCTATATCTATCTATATATAATATATATATATATATATATATATATATATATATATATATATATATATATATATATATATATATACAAAAAATTATTTGTAATCTTTTGAAATTTTGTGCTAGTTGCAAAATATGGGTGACTCTAAAAGGTTCTTCAAAATTTATAGCATTAAAAATAAGTTTATAGTTGATCAATCGTATATACATATAATTTATTTTTCTTTTTTGATTTTTTTGATAATATATATAACTATATATATAACTATATATATAACTATATATATATATATATATATATATATATATATATATATATATATATATATATATATATATATATATATATATATATATATATATATATATATATGGCCATTTTTAAATTACAAAATGTTTTACAGGCATATCTGGTGATCTTCATTTCTATGATGAAACGCACTTCACTCTTGGTACAACTAAAGGTATAAACTTACTATGGGTAGCTGTACATGAAATCGGACATTGTATTGGATTAGAACATTCCAGCGTAGAAAATTCTATTATGTACCCTCGGTATAAAGGATACATGGGAGAAAATTTTACTCTATCAAAAGATGATATTTTAGGAATAAAATCAATATACGGTATTAACCTTATATTTATTTTCTCATTTTGTAAGTTGGTAAGAATGCACGATTGCATTTATTTTGGACTGCAAGAATGCTTAACATTGAAAAACCATTTTGTTAACTTGAAGAAATCAGTACTATATAAGTTATATAATAATGAAAAAAGCTTTATTAAAATACACCAAGTAATTTAAATTTGAATAAAAACAAGAGGTTTAATGGCAAAATATTTTGAGGCAATATTTAGTTAGGGGAAATTAGTTACTTCAGTTTTTGTTAGTTTACATACAACACATTTCTAACGCAACATTCATTTTTTCCTCTTAATGAATTTTATTTAGGTTCTAAAACGCAAATTAGCACTATGAAACCAATTATTACAACAACAAAGGTTTCAAAAAGCAATCTGAAAAATATGTGTTCAATGAAAGGAGCTGTATTCGAGGAATTATCTGGGATTACGTATGTGTTCCGTGGTGATAAAGTCTATAAGATTGATCAGTGGTTGAAAAATGTTGATGGTCCATTCCCTGTTACTCGTTTTTTGCCTAATGTTAAAATTGTTGATTCCGCATACATAAGTAGAAAATCAGAAGTAATATTCTTTAAAGGAACAAGGTTTTAAAATTTAGTATATTTAGTATATATGTATATATAATATGTATATATATATATATATATATATATATATATATATATATATATATATATATATATATATATATATATATATATATATATATATATATATATATATATATATATATATATATATATATATATATATATATATATATATATACATCTAAACATATATTAATCAAAGATATTTTTAACAAATAATTCTTATCATGTTAAAAATGCTCTGTATGTATTGCAAATTCTGTGCATATGAGATTATATCTAATATCTATATAATATTCAATTATGCATGATGTGTTTATATTTATTACTTAGCTACTATATTTACTCAAGTTTGTCGAAACTAATTCTTCTCGAAAGCGGATCTATTTTTAAAAAGTTCAGAGGATTAAGAAATGATACAAAACATATTGATGCCGCTTTCCATTGGCCTGTAAACAGAAAAACATATCTTTTTTCTGGAGATCTATATTATAAGTTCAGCGAATCAAACCTTCCACATCGTGGTTACCCTCGAGAAATTAGTAAAAGATGGAAAAATGCGCCATCAAAAGTTGTTTCTGTACTTGTTTGGAAGAATAAAAAGACTTATTTTTTTAAAGGTTAGTGAGTCAATAAACTAATGGTGTTTTTTATTAAGATTTATTCAATAAATTTAATACAACTTTTAACCTTAAGTTATAAACTATCCTTTCAGAATCTTATTATTTTTTTGAAACAATTTTCGGTCCCTTATGAGAGGATATTTTTCGAGCCGAGATTTTCCGTGAGAGAAAGCGAGAAAAACTGAGATTTTTCAAAAAAGTAAAAAGTTATAGAAATTAATGTGAAATTTCTAGAAAGGTTTATTTTTGATTTTTTATTGTTAGCTAGAATCAAAAAAGTTTAAAATTTTCCAAATTAATTTTGTTTTATAAAATAACATTTTAAAAGGCTTAAGTCCTTCAAAGTTACAGCTGTCGTTTCTCCCATCTTTTACTCGATGGTTGCTCTAAATTAAAAAATTTTTCTCGCTTCAAATCAATCTTGGCTTGATTAATTTTAACGCATCTTCTTATTGGCATAATTTTTCTGATATAAATCCAGTCGTAACGTAGCTGTTGAATTTTTCGGTCTTCAAATCATTAGAATCAGTGGCTTGGATTTGTTGTCTCTTATTGGATTTTCTTTTCTTTGTTTATGGTTCTTTGCGGTTTAGTACAAAGTTTAAAGTTGTTCGAAATTTGAGGAAAGCGAGAAAACGCAACTTCAGAGTATTGGAAGCCACAACCTGCTGAGCTTTAGAAGTAATTTCCACAACATCATTACTTTTATTATTACTAGACGAATTATTACTCCGCAGTCTTTTTCCATTATCAATAATATATTTGATGAGAGCAAGAATGTGGACAATTTCGACACTTTTCAAAAACTCCTAGATTGTTTAGAAGGTTTAGCAGACTGACAGTTAACATAGGACACCTTTTAAAATTCTTTTTCAATTTCTTCAAACAAACGACCACGAATAAAACTTTCCTCCATTCGCAATTCCTCAAATAAAAATTCCAATGCACCTGCTGGAATGTTCAAGTCAGCAAAAAATATGGAAAATATAAAAAATGCATGGATGTTCATAACTTAAAATTGTTTAAATATTGCCCAATAACTCATGTAGAAAAACTTTCTTTTACTAGATTTTATCAGCGTTATTTCCGTGATCATTATATCCTTCACATGCGCTGCTGAGCTATAAATTGTCTGACGAACTTTTTGTAACGTTTTCGGGAGTTTAAACTTTCAATCAGCGTTTGCAATAACAGATTAGCACTTTGCTTAAAACTCCGAAAATCTGATGCTAGCTTAGCAACATTTTCGTGAGTCAATGTAAGTTTCACGTTAAAAAAAGAGCGGTAATTTTGAAGGATTTAATATATTTTAGTAATCTCGGTTTTAATATTTTTCACATTAATTTACTCGTTATTTCAAGATCGAAATTCCGAGATTTAAAAATTACAGTGATTACCGAGACCGAGATTTTCAAGACGAGCGAGATCTGAAAGTATAGTTATAAAAATGAACTAAAAAAGTTCTGAAATGTATTTGTTATATAATTTTTCTATGCCACTTTTTATTATATCTTTTTAAAATCAAATATTTACAACTATTTAGGTTCCAAATATTATCGTATAAACGATCGGGGCGAGGTAGAAAATTATTATCCAAAAAGCATATCTGGTTCATGGATGCAATGTTAACGGAAGTTAAAGCAAAAACAATTAATATAGTTACTTTACTAAATTATTCAATAAAATATTAAGTCTGTTACACAGTGTAACACATTTTTTAAATATTTCAAGAATATTATATTTCTAGCTTTCTTATGTATTGAAAGCTTTTCAAATAGTATTTTCAAAGTCAAAAAATATTCTATGAGATCTAAAAAATATTTTTTTTGCAAATCACTATAAATTTAACTTAGGTTGGGGTGGGTTTTTTTTAAAAAAAACAGAAAAAATTAATAATATTTTTCTAATGTCAAAATATTATTTATTTTATCAACCATTACATAATATTGATTGTTAAAGCAATAATTGAATCTAATATTTAATGAAGTATTTATAAAACAAATGCATTGTTTAAAATATCAGTAGGTGCCTACATGTTTTATAGTATTTAATGTATATATATATATATATATATATATATATATATATATATATATATATATATATATATATATATATATATATATATATATATATATATTATATATATATATATTATATATATATATATATATATATTGTATAGCTATTCATATATAACTGATATATATAACTGATTGTATAAAATACCATTATTGTTTTAAAAAGTAGATAATTTTTTGAATGTTTTTTGTTTTCTGTACATTTTTTCATATTGCTGTATTTTAAGAGATTTAGGGTGGAATGCAAGAAGCGAACTTGAAATTTCAAGTCATATTTCAAGTCTAAAATTTGACTTGAGCAAATGCAAAGAACGAACTTCAACTCGAAGTCTAACTTGAAAACCGGCCGTTTTCAAGTTAGACTTAAAAAACCAACTTGAAAAAGCTAAAATCTTTTACAAATGCAAGAAGCAAACTTGAAATTTCATGTTATACTTCAAATCTGAAATCTTACTAAAGTATTATGCAAGAAACAAACTTAAAATGATTTTTTCTCATAAAATCTGACTTCAAGTCTTTTTTTTAAGTTAGGTACCAACCAATCTTAAAACCAAAATTTAAAATAAAAAAATAAACCACCATTATCATTTTGTATAATATGCGGCAAAAGGTTACATAGAATTTTCGTCAATTTAATCAATTCATGAGTGAATTACTTACATTATTTTATACTATATAAATACATTTCACCAGTACAACAACAGTCAATTGTATGTCGGAATGTCATAGTCTTGTAATACAATAAAATTTCAATCCAACAATAACTCAGACCGTTGACCTTGCTTGTTGCAGAGAAGGAATCATAGGTTCAGTTTGAATTTACTTTTGCATGATGAATAAATTTTCACCATTACTTTGATTGCCCGCTCTGCGCATTAGTTACTTCTGGGTACCTGTAGTGTAGATGGCTCTCGCTTCCAGTGAATTTTCAAAGAGCTTAAAGCCTTTTTGTATGGATTTTGTATTTCAGCTAAGTTATTAAAGCCGTTTTTGTTATACAGTTGGTCTGTAAACCAATGGTCTGCCCAGCCATACGATATAAATTGACATAATTTGTGTGCAGAACTGTCCTTGTTGAAGAAATTAAAATGAAGGCCAGGATTGCTAGTATAGCTCTTGAATTCCACCTCACATTGCTGATGTTGGGTATTTTCTAAAACCTGATCAATGGAAAATGTCCCTTTTCCTCAAAAAATCAAAACACTCGAGTGAGATGAAACAATAATTTCATATCATCTCTCCAGCCTGATGATTCGAGAATTACTTCTGTTCCATTATCAAACTGTGTTTTCCGTTGTTTGTACTCCTTTAACAGTTGAGATACAAACGGATATTTTTTGTTTGGCGATTGTGTTCGACTTCCAAATTCTTCATCCATCACCAAACGGAGGATTCTTCTAACACATGGTGTTGACAACTGATAAACTGAGGATTTTTGATTCGTTTCTCTGTGAACATTTGTTGCAATATTACAACAACACCATTCATTTTTTCCAGTGTTAACGCTGGTGGTATCTGCAACAACCATCTGTATTGAATTCCATAGGTGAAATTCATCGAGGACTTTAGAAATTCCTTGAGCAATAATTAAAGCCCTGCCATTTATGAAGCCAAGAACATCCAATTTGATTTCTCTTCTTTCATTTTTAAAGACGACCACTTAATTTTCTTTATTGTTTTTATATTAGGTATTTCATAACCTGTCAGAATCACTAAATCCAGTATAGTAAGATGATGAGTTAGATGACTCATTAAAAAGTTTTTGTCTTTTAGAGAGAAGGATTGTTTTTTTACTAGCCGCTTGGCCTGTAGAGTATTCTACTGCTCCTTTGCTTTCCACTTGGAGATGGTAGAATTGCTTGTCCTCGGAATATAACCATGTTCTATCCACTTTAGTATTAACAAAAATTTTATCAAGGGGTTTCTTAGCTTCCTTGCTTGACACAAAAAAAAAAAGCTAGAAAATACTTTTCTAGCTTTTTTTTTTTGTTTTCACAGCAGCACTTTCTAGATTATTAGGACTGTCTTAGAAAGTTTT